GTAATCTAATTTGATCATAATGGAAATATCCATTTTGGAATTTACAGGGTATTTCACTACTTGCAACCATTGGGGGAAAAAAAACTCAGCTAGAAACCTGCCTGGTGTGTGTGTGTGTGTGTGTGTGTGTGTGTGTGTGTGTGTGTGTGTGTTTACAGTGAGGATTAATTTAAAAAGCAAACAATTTCTGCTAGTGATCTTGCTAAAAGGTGAAGTACTTTAACTCTTGTTCAGTGCTGCTAGCTGAAGTTGAGCTGCTACCTGTTACCAGTCTACTCTTTTGGTCAGCTGTAGCAAACTAGAAAGCCTTCACAACAGCAAAGCAACATCTCTCCCTCTCAAAGCCTTAGAAGTAACTCTCTCTTATTAACTTTTCCACTATTCTCACAGACTTCTTATATTTAAAAAAAACCTCCAAGGATTGCTTTCATGGACTATGTACATAAGTGCAAAAAAGGTGTGTCTCACACATTCGCACCCTAACTGAGGCAGTCAGTTAACTGCAGCATATGTCTCTTCAACACTGTTAAAGGGTTATTCCACAGTATCTTTATGCATGTTTTTGCAAGTGAATTAATTTAATAGTATGCTTTTATCATTCTTTAATCCTCATTTGGATATATTTGTGTAAGTATGTAATTCCAGAAAAGAGAATCTCTGCAGTTACAGCTATGCCACTTGTTTAATTTTAAATAAATGAAGTTATGAAAAAAAAGGTCAGGTAACATAAATATCACAATTTTGTTTTGAAGTCCAAATACTGTGGAATAAAACCCTACACACACAACAAATTCTATAAGCTATAAAGCTTGATTTTAGAATCCACGACTTGTAAACTTTTTGATAAAAAAAAGTCACACGAGGACACAAATTCAGCTTTCAAATGGGAATTTTGGACAAAAAGAAAATCAACCATATATGTTTTCTGAGATTTGAGATGTATCTTCTACATGCTCATACTGTCAAAAACCATGTATAGTTTACAAATAAAATTTTCACCAAAAAGGTGTCTAAAGGTAGCCATGTTGTAGTTTTGTTGCTAAAGCAACTAAATATAATTAGTTAAAGTTATTATTTGTATATAAAGTTTGTTCTTAAACTGTGAACTGTAAAGAATAGTTATGGATTATAATCTATATCTTGTTATGCTTCAGTGTCAGTTTAGAACCTATCTAAGAAGGTTGAACACATGTAGTAAAATCTTAAACTTTCTCTACTTCTCCTTCAAAAGTAAATTCATTAGTCACTTAGCAATATAAAAAGTAATAAAATCAAAACCTTAAAAACTAACAAGAAAAAAATGAAAACATGGCACCAATTAGTGAGCTGGTGCTAAAAACCTTAATTTGTCATTATATTTACAGTTTCATTAGGTTATCAACTAAATTTGTAAAAAAGTTATACCCTTTTACATACTATTTATTCTATTACTTTTAACAGGCACTGGTAAAATTAAAAATAGGCCACTATCTCTCTAAATCTATGCAACAGAATTGGGAAATCATATTTCCCCATTTCTATTTCAATGTGTGTGAAATGTAGAAGAGTTAAAAAATAAAAGAGGATTCCAGTTTCTAATAGTTCTGTGCAAAACAACCTATCCTACAGATTACAAAAACTTGAAAACCTTGTGGCTGCATTTACCTAAGAGCATCCTCATCTACTCTCTCCAAAGGCATGGAAAAGGAACCCAATAACATTCCAAGTAGCAATAGGCCTTCTTTACATATTATTTAATACAATTTAAGGTCAATGTTTTCCTTATTCAGGCATTACTATTCTTACTGGACAGGCTATTAAAAACTGATTCACGTTGTAAAGGTTAATTTTATTTGGTTCCTACTGATGGTAGTGAGGAGGTACTTGCTTTTTCCTAATTTGAGAGCTGGTGAGGCTACCAACTAGTGAACACAGCCCAGTGATATAGGACAACACTTCCGGCAAAATCAAAGTACTTTAAAACATGTTAAAAATGGATGGAGAAGATTGATGGACTAGGGAGAAGATGGCTTTTCACATCACAATCAACTACAAATTAAAGACTAATCTAGACAAGTGAAATGAAATGCAATAGCTGGTTACAGAGTCATGCTCCGATTGCAAAAGAAAATACTGTATTTAAATACCAATTTTATGAATCCATTTAATTTTGATGTAATCTTAATCTCCCTTTAAATTATACTTATGGTCACAGTGCTTTTTATAAAAAGTTGACACTACTAAAACCCTCTTAAAAGATAATTTTTAGATTATTTTATCTGTATACATGACTTATTTTGTCCAAGTGTCAGCACTATTGCATATTTTTGCAAAAGGCTGAGAGAAATGAACAAACACAATTTTGGATAATTAAAAATAGAGGCCCTTGTAAATTACAAAGCTTATAAAATCTTACCTAAGAATCACAAGTGATTAGAATTTTATATATACAATTCATTCAGTAAATTACTGTTTAGAGTCACTGATTAATTTTGTGACTTCTCTTTTTATCTGAAAATTTATAGTCTAATGACTAATCTTCTTTTCTTTTCTTGAATAAAGATGTTGCACAAGTCATTGCACAACTAAAACATGTTATCTTAAAATAGTATCATGTCAAAATTCTTTTGCACATGTATCAAAACTTTAGTGCTTTGACTTTTCTTTCTTTAAATTCATTTATAAAACAATTTTTAAAATGCCAACAACAAAAAAATTGTGGCACCCAAAATTCAACTACCCTGAATATTTCTCACCAAACCTCTTACTAAAATATAAGTCTTTATTAATGTCGTCCAGTGCTTAAAGCAACATGAAAACAACTGTACTCTAGGTTTGCTGTCTATGCACATCTTCATCAGAAGTTTAAAAAGTTAAATGAGACAGCATGTTGCATCAAAAATATCAAACTACACAAAGAAGTTCATTTTACCCTGAAACATCTCTATCCCCTTTAGGAATACATCCAGACTAGCTTAGGTGCATCCTTCCTGGAGTCCTGTGATCAGATCTACCCTTCTGGGGAGGCACTGACATAGGTTTAACAAAACTCAGTTCCAAACACATGCAATTTCACAAAGATGTACTCTACTTTCTTCTCTATCAATGTTAAGATTTGAGGAAATAGAAATTAAGTGGTTCAAAGAATCAATAGGTAAAAGTCAGAACACCGCTTGTTCTTTAACTCCAGGCAATACTGTAAATAAATGGCGATGGCTCCATATAAGCAATACCAGTTAGATATCACTGATGATCATGATTTGGATTGATAATTAAGATCAACAGGATACAGCTAATTTTGCTCTTTTGTATTCTGAGCCAATTTGATCAGCTTTGGGATGGAGTCTCAAATGTCCTGAAGTACAAACGATGTAAAACAGAGGAACAACTGGGAGCCTGGAGATATTGGTGTCTGACTGTGCCCAACTGAGCACAGTAATGGCCAATGAGATGCCCTGGGCCTCAGTTTCATCTTCTGTGAAAAGGTTTTACCAACTCCATTGATCTGTGATTCAAACACTACTAGCCTGCCTAAGGTATCCTAAATCAGATTTTCTTTGTCATTTTCATGAACTAGAAAACATTAAATCTAAGTTGATGTAAAATATCATATGGTTCCACTACTGTATAATAATAGTAACTTTAATAAGTGAGTAAGGTGGATGAGGCATCTCATATAACAGGAATTAATTACTATTTTACTTGGTTATAAATTTAATTCATAAAAATTAGTAATGTGAATTCAGTTCAGGTCTGTGGAGTGCAGCCACTCTGTCTCATCCAAAGGGTCTTAAACACCTCTCTGTTATAATTTTCAAATACATATAAAAACAAACGAATCCAAATCAATATTGGTTTTGATGAGAGAGACTCTTGTTAATAAAGTTTGGGGAAAGCAACACTTAACATATATCACAGTCTACTGCTACTTCACTGAGGTGTTTAATAAAACTGAAAACTCGGCCGAACTAGCCAACTGTGGATATCCTTCCTAGAACTTTTAAATAAATCAAAGAATAATTTTAAATGTCTTTCCATCGTCCTTCCCACCCCCGCCATTTCTCTAATCCTATACTCAGGTTCCAACTGTGATCAATAGAAAAGATTGTCCATTTGGGGAGGAAAGGCCTCACTTGGAACTAATTCTCTTTCACCCTGACAGACTTTTGCTAGATTGCACCTTACTTATTATAAAGAGCATAAGACATTTGCATTGAGAAATGGCTCTTGTGTAAAAGGTAGCAATCCAATGATTTTTACAGGCTTTTCTCCAATGTGTAAAAAGCATCTCCATGTCCCCATATGCCCGTTTAATTTATTATCTGTAATTAGCATATCTTTAAGTCTCCAAGTACCAATTTTTCAACTGAAGATGACAAATGGCTGTTTTAGACAATCAACCTAGGAGATAGGATCCTTGAACCATAAAAAATGTAATGGGCACTTTACATATTTTTTAGTATAAATGCTGAAAGATTCATTTAAAGGTAAATTCTAGTTTTATAAGCCATTTAAAGAGTGAAATTAGGGGTTAATGTTTTAAGCAGTTCCCTGTTTTTCTTGTTTTGTTTTGTTTGTTTTTTGAAGGTAATTATGTCTCTCTCACAAATAATGTACTAATGTGATCATATTATGCAAGGTCAGATCTGCAGGTATAAATTATTCACATGCATGTTTATGAACAGGTTTTGTGAACACTCAAAAGTAAGGCTTTTAAAATGTCTGCCCCAAGAAACCTACAGAAATATTCTAAACAGAGAAAGCATATTAACATTAACCTGTCATATTTTTTAAACACACATATTTCTGTTTCCCATCAGTAACACTTTAGTCGAAACCAAAGACCACAGATATTACAGCAAAACTCTGTAGTATGTAAAAATGTAACACAACACAATATACCACAATACAGTACAATACATTAATGAGGAAAATGGTATTTTGGTATAATTTTTACCTTTTAAATCAACCTAATAGGCTACTGTGTAAACAAAACAGTAAGGTAATAGCACTTCAAAACAGATGAACATTACCCACCAAGAATGCACAGTAAGCCAAAAATCCACTGTGAAGATTTACTCAGCCTAATAGTTATTAGAAAATCACAAAGAACAGTGTGACAAATTACAAAATTTTATAGTAGTGTTCTACCTAATAATTCAAATAAGATAGATGGTAGTTCGTTTTCTATTCATGTTTTGTTTTGACATCTCCATTGATTGTTTAATACTTTCTTTTTAATTTGTTGGCTGGTATTTTTGTTTGTTTAGTATATTGACTGCATCATGCTTATTGTTGTGTTGGTAGAAGAGGACGTACAATACTACATATAGAAAGGCCATATGGAGGTTCTCATGGAAAGATTCTGATACTCCATAACTCTGTTGTTCAGAATTTCAACTGAAATGGAAAAAGAGAGTGAGAAATATTTAAGGGTTATTGAAGCAGAAGTCAGGATACTTTGTTCTTGTTCCAGTTCTTTATGTGAACTATACCAAGATATTCCCCACTCTGAATTTCATATTCAATATCTGTAAAAATGGGGCTGTTGGAGATGGTCTTTAAAGATTCATCTCTAAAGTGTATGGTTCTCATTGAGTGCTAATGCGCAGAGTTGCCCTAAGTTAACAGAGATGTGCTCAATAGTTTAATGCATTATCTACACAGTGCCAAGCCTTGTGGCGAGCATCCACCCATCCATCCACTTCCTTCAACAAGCATATTGAAAGATCATGCTTACACCTGAAACTAATATAAAGTAATATTGAATGTCAACTGTACTTGGGAAATAGAAAAACAACAACAACATTTGATTCCAATCATTCAAAATATCCAAATATTAAATAAACTTTAAACATTTCAGCTGAATGTATTGGAGAATAAATATGAAATCTAGGTACTACATAGTATTTTACAAAATTACATCTTTTAAACTTTGGAGAAATTTTCAACATGTTACATATTAAAGTATTATGGTGTGCCAAATCCCTGTACATTTTCTAATGGAATCAAAGGAAAAGGAATCACTATTTCCAAACATGTTCTGTTTGGAAGTTAATTTGACAACCTTTGTTTACCTTTATGTGAAGCAGCTCATGAGAATCAGGGAAGTGTTCACAAAACCCACAGTCTCATATTTGGTGCTATTCCCAAGTTGCCACTATCCCAAATGATACCACTGAAAACTATTACAATTCACAGCTACTTCAATTATTCCATATACTCAAAGGTATCTTTAAAAAACATTTCTTATGATTGAAGGGACCTATTT